CACAGCTGGTCAGAACGCTCTCTATGGTGTTTCTATAGAAGGTGGTGAGGATGGGTGGGTGCAGGTGGGCTCTCCTTCATCCCAAGAAGTACATGCGCTTCTCTGCCCTTTTGATCAGTAAGGTGGTGTTTACAGTCCAGGTGAGGGTGTCTGTGATGTGCACTCTCAGGGATATGGCGCTGTTGACCACCTCTACAGCTGAGCTGTTGATGACCAGTGGAGCGTGGTTAGGGCGGTTCTTCCTAAAGTCCAAGATGATTTCCTTCATCTTCTCCACATTCAGGATCAGGCTGTTATCTTTGCACCAGTCCACCAGCTGCTCCATCTCCTCTGTGTAGTTCTGGTAGTTGTCATCACTGATGAGGCCCACCACCTTGGTGTTGTCTGCAAACTTCAGGATGTGATTGGTGATGAACCTAGGGACGCAGTCATGTGTCATCAGGGTGAACAGCAGGTGGCTCAGGAAGCAGCCCTGAGGTGAGCCTGTGGTTAGGATGACGACATCAGAGGTGTTCTGTCCGACCAGGTCTGTTGGTGAGAAAGTCTAGCAGCCAATTTCGAACAGTTGTATTGAATCCCAGCTGTTCCAGTTTTCCTATCAGATGCTTTGGGATGATGGTGTTGAAAGCTGAACTCAAGTCCAGGAACAGCATCCGCACATGGGTGTTCTTCTCCTCCAGGTGTGCCAGGCTCAGGTGTAGAGCAGCAGAGATGGTGTTCTCAGTGGAGCGGTTCCGTCGGTAGGTGAACTGGAACGGGTCGAATGTTGGCGGCAGACTAGAGACGATGTGTTCTTTAACCAGCCTTTCGAAGCACTTCATCATGATTGGAGTCGGTGCAACAGGCCGGTAATCATTGAGTGAGGTGAACTGAGGCTTCTTTGGTACCAGAATAATGGTGGCAGACTTGAAGCATGCTGGCACTATGGTTCGGTCCAGCAAGGTATTAAAGATGTCTGTGAGGACACCAGCCAGCTGATCTGCACACTCCTTATACACCCGCCCAGATATGTTATCAGGCCCTTGGGCCTTCCTTGGGTTGACTCTCCTCAGAGTTTTCCTCACTTCAGCTACGTCCAGGTTTAGTCTCTCCTCCCCCTGGTGTGGAACGGCTTTCACTGCTGGAGGCTGTTTAGTGCCTCAAATCTTCCAAAGAAGTTATTCAGTTTATTTAGGAAGTCAGTGTTTGCTGCATCTACCGGGGGGAGAGTGTGTTGTAGTCTGTGATCATCCGAATGCCTTTCCACATCTTCCTGGTGTTGCTGTCGTCATGGTGGTGATGTTCTTTTTGATGCTGACATCATCAATGCATTTCTTGACGTAGGCAGACACAGTCATAGCATACTCATCAATATTTAATACGTTTTCCTATGTTGCTGCAGCCTTGAAGATGTTCCAGTCAGAGCATTCAAAACAGTCTCGGAGTGTCTCCATGGCGCCCTCAGACCACACACTGACCTCTTTAACTGTCGGTTTAGCCCTGATCAGCTGGGGCTTATATGCAGGAATAAGCATGACCAAGAGATTATCTGATGACCCAAGGTGGGGGCGGGGGGCTGCTCTGACTGCATATTTGATGTTAGAGTAAACCAGGTCTAAAATGTTTTCACCCCCAGTTACAAAGTCCACATGTTGGTAAAAATGAGGGAGCACAGTCTTCAAGTTAGCCGTGTTAAAATTCCCAGCAATGATGAAAACATCCTCTGTGTGTGCAGATTCAAGCTCACAGATAGCCTGGTATAGAGTCTTCATGGCTTCTTTTGTGTTAGCGCTGGGAGGCACAAAAACAGCAGTGATGCTAACTACACTGAACTCTCTGGGCAGATAGAACGGTCTGCAGTTAACAGTCAGAAACTTGATGTCTGGAGAGCAGAAGCTAGCGAATGATCTGGCATTTTTACATCACCTGTTGTCGATGTAAACACAGAGCCCACCACCCTGAGTATTACAGCTTAGTTCTTCCTATCAGCGCAGTATAGCGTTAGCCCCTCCAGGTTAATAGCATTGTCCGATATTGCTGGATGCAGCCATGACTCCGTCAGAATAAAGGCGCCGCAGTTACTAATCTCCTTCTTTGATGACAGTTCCAGTCGAAGATTATCCATTTTGTTTTCCAGCGAGCGGGTGTTAGAGAGCAGGATTGATGGAAGTGGAGGTCTGTGGGGATTTCTCTTTAGCTTCCCCTATCTGGAGCCTCGCTTTCGTCTCGTCCGTCTCGCGCATCTCTTCCTTCGGCAGTTACTTTCCGCTGGATGTGCTCTCTTCATCCTTTTGTGTCTCTGCTTCTGTCTCCATGAACCCCAGTCGGCCTCGGCAGATGGCCGCTCACAGTGAGCCTGCTTCTGCTGGAGGTTTCTTCCTGTTAAAAGGGAGTTTTTCCTCTCCACTGTCGCTACAAGCATGCTTAGTGTGAGGGATTGTATTTGAGTCAATGCAATCAACTGGTTTTCCTTAGATAGAAAACTTTGAATCAATTTGACTGTATGATCTGGTTGAACATGTTGTGAATTTGGCGCTATATAAATAAACAGAATTGAATTGAATTGTTTTTGGGATCCGTCTGTAGCACTCCGCAGCTTTTTAAACTGTCAAAAATGTCAGTATTTAAAAGATTTTTTAACCGTAGCTCCAGCAGGCGTTGGTGATCAAAGATGCTAGTTTAAAGTCTAGTTTGCGTCGTTTTAAGCGGCATATTCTGTGAAATTGTCAAGAGGAGCTGTTCTTGGCCGCTGCTTTGGAGCGCTGCTATGGCAACAGATGAGAGGAAGAAGATGGTTCCTACTTCGCAAAAATAAGTTACATTCACTGGCTTTGTAAGTTCCTTTGATGTCTTGTATAAGTCTTTGTGTCTTTCATTCAACTAATTTAGTCATTGCATGAGAGGATGATGTGTCCTTTCATTGGGGAAGTACAGTAACACATTCAGCCAGGTCCAAAAATTATGAGCCTGCAGAGTTAAAAAAACAAATATTAAAACTTCATTTTAAGAAGTATTAAACCCCAATTAGGAAAAAATAGGTATATTTTTTATTTTAAAATAATGACCCAAGTTCTGCAGATTCTGGTTCTGATTATATTCACCTAGTGGATGATCAGGTTGGTTACCATTACTATTATATTATAATTTATTCACAAACGCCTGTAGATAACTTTAGATGAGTGATAACGAAGGACATTAAAGAAGGACCCTTGTGCAAAAAATGGAGAATCTAAATCAGGGATTTTATTTTAAAGATACAGAGGAAGCCGCAAACACAGATGGTCCAAACGTAAACCTAGAATATATGAACTGAACATGAACAGAACAAAGCCCAAACTGAGGTCTGTGAAGATAACATTGAATATATAAATAAGATGTAAAATTTTTAATATTTTGATATATTTCACAGTTTGCTAACTTCTTCAAAGTTTTTCAATTAATTCTGATGATTGTTTTGCCTTCAATCTTAATCAATCAAGCAAAGGTTTCCTGTATATTTTCTGGCACAGTAAGGTTTTGGAAGTGGGAAAGTTTAAACATATGCATTTATTTTCTAGTTTTGATGTCATCCTAATGTTAACTGCAGGGGTCAGAGTCAGCTGAGTCTGAGGTCGTCAGCCAGAAAGAGCATTGCTCTCTGCAGGATGAGGGTCAGCCTCTGCCTCATGGAGAAGAGTTTATATACAGTAGCTTGATGTTTTATTTTTATTTATTTTTATTTTTTTTACCTCTTTTGGGAGGAGCCATTACTCCAGTCTGCCATTGTCACGCTTTGCTGATTAGATTATTTTCCTTTTGTCATTTTGTCTGGCTCTTTAATTTTTTTTTTACTTCCTGTTTTATTTTGGTGCATTATTGCCTTACCTATTTACAGCTCTCCCTTTGCAGCCTTCATTGCCAGTTTGTCTTTGTCAATTGTGTTGAGCATTCCAGCCTTTTGTTCTACCTTGCCTAGCAGCAAGGCTCTACTTGTTTTTGAACAGCCTCTGCATTTGTGTTTTTTTATTTTTTTTGCCAGTTGCTCCAACTCATTGTGCTGACTTGCATTAAATGATCATTGATTTAATTTCCCTGAGTTGAGTCTTGAATTTGAGTGCTCTTTTGGTTGCCTCATGAGAGCCATGTTTCTCAACTTAAACGTCCATCAAAGTTTGGTTGTCAACTCTTACCAATGGCTGTGGGATATCTAAAAAAAAAAAAGAAAATAGTTGAACTTTATTGATCTCACGTTGGGGAAATTTACCTCTGCATTCAACCCATCCCTTTTAGGAGCAGTGGGCTGCCATCATAGGGGCGCCCGTGGAAACACCAGGGGTCAAGGTTCTTGCTGCCAGAATGTCAGTCTGTGGGAGTGGGGCTTGGACTCAGAACCTCAGAATCCTGAGCTCTATGCCCTAACCACAAGGCTGCAACTCCCCCCATATGTCCTGATATGACTCAGGACTGAATAAATGAGATGCTAGATCCAGGTTACAAACTATTTATTAAATTTAGCCTATTTTCTTGATATTATAAGGCTGGGGTTGTGAACACTTGAGAATTATTTTTATAAATATCTTTGCAGATTTACATGTTTTGGGTTTCATAAGCATTTACCTTAGTTTGGGGGGGGGGGGAGTCTCATGCTAATAGATGAATAGCTGTGTCAAACTTTTATCAAACAGAATCAAGCGTTTTTTACAACCACACTCAAAAGCTATATATATCTTAATTTATGATGTAATAAAAAGGAAGTGTATGGAATAAACAGACTACAATGTGTGCATAGAACAAAAGAGCCCTCAGTTAGGATGGAGTTCATATTTTTAATTGCATTATGGCTTCTGTCTGCCCTTTCCCATCTAATCCACTCTTCCTATTACAGCCCTCCATCTCATCTCCAGTATCCTCCCTCTGCTCACTCTCTCCCTCTGTATCCTTCCTCCTTTTCTCTCCTCTCCATATCCACAGCTTCCAGTCTCCACCCACCCCTTTTCCTCCACCCCTGGTGGCCATGTGCCCGGCCCCTTCATTAAACCCAGTATGAAAGAGACGTCTTTTGCTAGTAGTCACTCCACCAGAGCCTCTCGGGAGCCTCCCTCAGACACCAGGACACCCCACACTGACTCAGGCTTGGAACGAAGAGACAAAGCTGACTGCCAAATCTCTGTTTACTTCGCAGTAAGACCTCAGTTTGCCAAATATCTTTTTTTAAACTAACATGGAGCTCCACGGAGTGCATAAAATCTTCCATGCAAACCACTTTGGTGAGGAGAAGCAACAGATGCTGAACCTGAACCGACGCCTTGAAACCTATCTTAGTCGGGTCAAACTTCTGGAGGAGGAAAATGAAATGCTTGCAAATGAGATCAACGTTTTGAGACACAACAACCAGGGAACATTGACACGCAGGAAGGGCTTAGAGGAAGAGCTGAGACAGGCGAGACTGGAAGTGGATGCTGCCTGGAGGGACAGGGTCCTCACAGAGGTGGAAGTTCAGAAGCTTAGTGAGGAGATCCAAGCCCTGGAGCTCCAGAGGCAGAGGGAGGCTGAGGCCAAAATGCTGGCCAAGACCAAGATGGAGCAAAGCAGGAAGGAGATGGAAGATGAGCAGAGGGCACAGATTTGGCTCAGGGAGAAGGTCAATCAGCTGGAGCATGAAATGAGATTCCTTATCCAAACCCATGAAGAAGATGTTGCCCACCTGGAGGCCACAATGACCCAATCCAGAGCCAAGATGATTCCAAACCTGATTCAAAGGAGCAAGCAGACACCAGACCTGCTCCAGGTGGGGCATGAGTTTTCCCAGAGGGCGACCAGAGCTTGGCAGGAGGCCGCAGAGGCCTATCAGAGCCAGTTAGCTCAGCTGGAGGAGTCTCTTGGTCAGGCCAGGAGTCGTTTGGGTCAAGTTTGCCAGGAGAAACGTGAGAGCCAGCTGAAGCTTCAAACCTTGGAGAAGGAGATTGCCTCAGCTAAGGATGTCAGACTACATCTGGAGAAGGCTGTAGCCCAACGCAGGGAGGAGCACTGTCATCAGATCCAGCAGCTCCAGGTAAGTAAACTGCTCTAGTTTGGTTGCATAGAACGGAGGTCTTCAACAGGGGTCCGCAACCCCTAGGGGGTCCACGGAGGTACTGCACGGGAGTCGCAAAAGTTTCTTTTTTTTTTTTTATGTATTCTCTGCTGCAATTTTTGTCCACTAGTTAAAATGTGTTTAAATGAACATTAAAATGAATTCAACACACTGTAGTAAACAGATAAATGGAGGCAGAAGATGTCTTTCAATCATCAATGCTCACATTCAGTGACACACGGGAGCTCTTTTAAGCTGGGCACCATTTCATTCACAACACCTGTCCCATCAACCAGGACTCACAATCAGAAATGCTTTAATAATCCCATGAAATTACTTTTGTTACATTACTCCATCTGTTATATAGTGACTATAGGACCAGTTTGATATAACACAATTTCATAGAATATATATAATTAGGGAGTTCCCGCTCCATCTTGCCATCAGTTTGGGGGTCCTTGGCCTGGAAAACGTTGAAGACCCCTGGCATAGAAGGAGTTGAAGTGGAGAGTAAAACTTCCCGTAACTAAAGAAAACCTCAAACAGATTCTTACTCATTGTAAGCGGCCATGTTAACCAACAGGGATAGAGCAGAACAAGCAGACAGGAAAAAAAAGAAAAGCCCTGTTCCAGAAGTCCTCACTAAGAAATAATTATTTCAGAATGTGTCAGTTAAATGAGGAAGGAACTGAACACCTACTTACAAAATTCCTCTTAAGGTTCTTCACATTGCTCTCCTATAAAGAGATTAATGTCTAGATTTAAAAAAATAATTATACAACAAAAAACTGATATTTATCATGATGTCCTTTACTGTAATTAAGGAAACATTTGCAGTTTTATCTTTCAATATTTAGGTTCAGTTCTATGGATGAAGAAAGACCAATTGATTCTTTGAGTTTTTACATTCTGTTGTCTGGCTGGTGTCTAACACTTCGTCTTATGCGATTAACAATGAGTCAGCTTAGGCTTTGAGAATAAAGTGAGAAACCACAGCTAAATGTGAAGTCTGGTGTATTACCAGCCCTAGAAGTGATGTAACAGCAGGCAGAGTTTAGACATGTATGCTGTGGCATGCTAATTTGTTCTGACTTTGCTTAAGTCTTAGGAGATTTACTCACTAATTAAAGTTTTGATAATGAAACTAACATGATTTGCAGATATCTTGATTAACACATATTTCAGCCAAAGATTAAAGACTCATAATTAAGGCAGACTCACTAAATACTTTATTTGGCTTTTAAGTTCTACTTTGCTCTCTTAGTATTTCGAATTTTAACAGACTGAAAACATTTTACTTTGAAAGCCACTTGGGACCTCATTTATTCGGGTTGTAGTTGATTGGATTAGTTTTGGGTCACTGAGGTCTGAGCACACAAAGCTATGCACTTTCTAGGCTTTTTCCCACTGTGCATCTGGATGACTGGCTTTAGATAACCTAACCTAATGCCTTTGCTACCCTGAAGAAATGATAACTGAGCTCATTACTTTTCTTTTACCTGGATAGATTTTTGAAAAAATGGGTCAATCATCTAAAGGACCATATTAACCCCAATTCTTTTCATCTTCAAAATATTTTTACCCATGAGGAAACCGCAACGTGTAAGAATAGAATAGGAAAAGGTTCACCATGCCCACTCTGAGTGCTTCCCTTTCCTGTTTTATTTCCTGTTTTGGTAGGAACACTTAGAAGAGTTGGAGGTTGAAAAACTGGAAGTGTCCCAGCAGATAGACGACCTTCTGCAGGAGAACCAGAACCTGATGAGGCTGAAGATGTCTCTGGGTCTGGAAGTTGCAACATACAGGTAATCTGCACCAGGTTTTCTTTAAGACACAAATCCTGATAATCCAATGCAGGCATGTAGCTCCAATGGATGTCTGAAATGTATAAAAGAATGGAAACATGACAATGGCAAAAAGAGAGATCAGATTTTCTAACTTTAGTTCATGCTATTAGTTGAACACATTTTAAGGCTGCAGCTCAGAACCAAATCAATAACCATGCATCACTGTTAGAAGCTGTCAAACAAAGAGCAGTCTGAGCCTAAGGTTGTTACTGCAGCCTCAGCTGCCTTGAACAAAGTAACATATCCTTTATAAAGCAGCGCCGCCTTACTCGTTCTCCCCCTCCTCAAAGTATTGACCCTCACCCTTTTCCTGAGAGAAGGAGAGGGTGAGCATAGGCGGATCTACTGGGGTGGCATAGGGTGGCAACTGCCACCCTAAATGACAGCCTTGCCACCCCAGCTGCCACCCCAGTTGGCGGTAGGGGTGGCGAGGCTTATAAATTATGGATCATTTGAGAATTGCGACCGCTAATTTCCAATGTCGGACTGCAGTGAATGCAGCACGAGATGACGCGAGAGCGACTGAGACTGATTTGTTTTGAAAACCGAATGGGGCAAAGCGAGGGAGCCAGGGGTGATGTGGAGAGGAGACACGGGATGAAATAGGTAAAAACTGATTAACTATCTATCGAGAAATGAAATCATAATGAAAGTACAATGTTGCTAGCATAGCTGCAAGGCTGATTTTGAGATGATAAAAATCAGGTTGCAGAACGTTATTTCTCTAACTATGATGTTAGTTAGGCCTGACGTCTCAGGCTCATAAAGACATATTTGCGGTCAACTATGACAGAAAAGAGACTATATAGTTTGGTTGCACTCAAATCAAAACGCACAAAGGCATTGGATCTAAATAAAGTTGTGAAGCGTTTTGCTGAGCAACATGGAAATCACTGCATTCAGCTGTTATAGTCATGTTAACTTTATGTTATGCTCTCTGGTGAACCTTTACAGAGCTGTTACATTTTGTTTTGGCACCTGAGAAAATCTGATATTTCCTTAAATAAAACCAAAAGTGTTAAAAGTTAAAAATGTGATACTGGTGTGAATCCTGCTTAATATGAAGCAGAGTTGTTGTTTCTTTTTTTGTATATATAATATGAAACTATCCAGAAATGACCTGTATGAACCTACTCACAAGCAAAATGTATTTTTATGTTGCTTCTTTTCAGATTTGTGGAGATTTTGATGTAACATACAGAACCCGCCTTTTTGTTGATTTGTTGATACAGCAGTATGGAGGACCAACTCTGCCATATTTAAAAATAAATACATAAATAAATAAATGCTTAATAAATAAATAAGCATACAATTAATTGCCACCAAAAATACAAACAACAAATAAATGTAAGTAGAAATTAAATTATACAGCTAGTCATAAAGGTATATAACTCTTTTAATTGGCTTCTTTATTTCTTTGCCTTTTTAAAATTTACCTTATTTATTTTTTTTGTCATTTATTATCTTCAACTTCATTTTTTCATTACTTATATTTTTAAGTATTTATTTATGTGCATGTTATCATATTTTTGTCTGTTTTATTCTTCCTTTGTATTTTTTTACCCTAGTTATTTCTTCGCCGCTATTTCTTTCTGCCTGCCCTTTTAAAATTTCTGCCTGCCATTATAATATAATTTCTAATTACATTTATTTGTTGGTTGTACTTTTGGTGGCAATTAATTGTATGTTTATTTATTTATTGAGCATTTATTTATTTCTGTATTTATTTTTAAATATGGCAGAGTTGGTCCTCCATATACAGCTCTATCTACAGCATATTTACATGCATGAAATGTCCCTTTCATGTTGCCGTAACTGCTGTATGTCAAGTTACTGAGGAACAAATGGGGTAAATGTGTGTTCAGAGTAAACAATACATAGATGTCCAGTACCTTGTCAGGTGCCTTGACCCATTTATTTCTACTGTGTAGTTCTGCTCACTTTAGTACAGCTCAGTCCATAGATCTCTGATCAGTAACTTTTTCTTTCTATAGTTTCTTCTTGTGCAAATGCTGCAAAGCTGCTTCTCTGACAGTCAATCTGTCACATCTGCGACTCAGCACCTGTGTCTTACCTTAATACCTTTCCTGTGATAATGCCCCTCTAGAAGTAGTGTTATCATTCTTCTATCTCCTATTAAGTGAGATCTCATTGTATGATGTATTTCTAATATGAACTGTTTCACATGAAACACTAGTACTGTACATACTATTCTCACCAAACTGTGATAACTGTGATTAAATTCAGTGTAAACAAATGCCATATGTTGCCACCCCTAAAAAATTCCTGCCCCCCTCTTGCCACCCCATAAATATTTTTCTAGATCCGCCCCTGAGGGTGAGACAGAACCGGTCTATAAGCTTTGGGAGTCTAGAGTATCAGGGCAGGGGAGTGGGGCAGGAGAGGACATTAGTGAAGGGCAAATCTCTGTAGCATTCACTGTTTTTGAGAAGCTGCTGGAATGAGCTGCAAGTAAACAGCAATGCTTAGCAATTTTAACAAACTAGATCAATGTAGAAAATTATAAGGGTAGGTGCTGGAATCCACATGTGTGAATAGAAACATGGGTATTAGTGCTGCATGAGCTGCTTCCAATATCTGCTTTCAGTAGCGTGGTCCCAAGTGCCCCCCCGACTCTGTGTGTGTGTGTGAGAGGAATTGATGGCAGAGGCTTGTGCAGATGACTCCTCAGTGGCGGGGCCTTTCCTTCATTACCATAACAACAGACCTTAGTGTGCATTCATGCCTCTTCCCACACACAGTTCAGTCTGCAGCATCAAGTTGCTTTCACCATGTTAAGCACAAACACCATCATATTTATGGGTTAGAAACCATCCATTCTCCAGATTTGATATTTATCCTCATGTTATCTCCACAGAGCTTTGTTGGATGGCGAGAGCCGTGGACGAGAGGCAGCTTTGTTAAATAAGCCAAGAAACATTTCCATCAGAGGTAATTAAACTCTAAGCCAACAAACATTTCTGTCATTTAGCTTCTGCAGTGATTCACAAAAGGAGAATCTGAATGCTTTTTGATTTAAATTATCATAAAATCACGTCGTCTGAGTAAAAGCTCCTCACACTGACATGTTCAACACATTTTGTAATTAGTTTTACAGGAACTTGGGAATAGAGAGACTTGAGGTAACGGGCTGACGTAAGCTCTCTTAATCCTGTAACGACAGTCAGACTGACCCCATCGGTTATAGAGCCATATGGGTTCCCTTTCCAGTAGCCTGGACATCAATGACAGGAAATGAAGATCAATATCTTCCCATTAGTGTCCAGACTAACTTGAGAACATAGATTTCAATAATGGTTTGGTCATGCAGACTCTCCACCACATCAGACAGACTTTCTTTGTGGGAATTGTACATCAAAGAAAAAATCACCTCTTTTTGCAATTAATCTCACTTTTTCTAAAGGCGTTTGTACAAATCCTTTTTTCCCCCAGCAGCTTAGTTCATTGTTTATTTATGATTTCTCTCCTTCACAGATGCAGTTCAGATTCCTCAAGGGGTTAAAAGGAATTACCCGACCCAGCTGTCTCCCAGCTTCAAGACCACTTACCCCTCATCTGTCCAAGGCAGGACAGAATCAGCAATAACTGCAACTCAGAACCTAAGCAGAAGATCTGCAGCTTTAAGAGAACCCCCAAAGATTACAAGAAAAGTTGAAGAAGCAGCTGCAGTAACTTCTGCCGCTACAGAAAGTCCCTATCCAAAAATAGTTCAGAATGGAGCAGCTGAAGACTTTAGACCAAAGGAGGTTCATGAGAAAGTCACCTATGCTGAGCCTTTATCTCCTCCTAATGAGGAAGAGACATCTGAGAAAATGTCTGAGGACGAGGTTAAAACAGATGTAGAAGCAGCGATTGAGTCTGTTGTCAGTCATAGAGCTGAGTTTGGTCTCGGCAGGGAGCCGAATTTAGTGGAGAGCGCTGTTAACCATCAGCTCTCAACACCCAATCCTGTATTATGCAGTAGCAGAATGGCAGAACCACCCTGTTACTTCTCAGATGAAGCTGAAAATGATGCAACACTTGAGGTTGAAACTGAACAAGAGAATGTGCAACAACAAATGGCTAAACCTGATGCATCAACAAAGGTAGATGAGGTGTTCAAAGAGGTAGTGCAAGATGAGACTTCAGATTCAGAAACAGAAGCAATGCTTGAAGCAACGTCAGAATCCAGGCCAAGCAGTCCTGAATCAGAAAGAGAAAAACAAGAAAATTATTCTATCCAAGACAAAGACAATAGACCTGATGAAAGCATGTTGAATTTTGATGTGGGAAAAGAGTTTAACATTTCCAAAGAGGAGACAAAGGGAAGCGAAGATGAGGATAAGTTGTATCCTGATGGGGAAGAGATGGATACATGGGACAGTGTAATCGAGAGGAGAGTCAGTGAAGGGAAAGAAGATGACAATGTCAGAAATGAAGGGAATAAAGACCATGCTGAGCCAGAGGAGGATATATCAGCAAAAGAACCAGAGTTGGAAAACAGGAACTTCAACCAATTAGGCAACATGGCCTCTGTGCTCCAACAAGTAGATGGAGACCAAGAGCATGTTCCACCTCCTGACAAAGAAGATGAAGAGGATGAAGAGGACTCGCAGAATGTCTCTGTGTCATGGAAGACCGAGCGGGAGAGTGACAGCTATGCTCAGGAAAACACCCTCGCTGACACTCGTCCCCTGATCCGATACAAAAGTGACGACACTGACGCCAACACTCAGGCGTCGCACTTCGACGAAAGTGAGTCCAGTGATGGTGAGCAGGAAAAGAAGGCGGGAGAGGCAGGAACCGGAACATGGGGTGACGGCAAGCCAAAGACTTTCGGAACAATGGAGGATCTTTGTGAAGAGGTGGAGGAAGAGACCGTAGATGATGACTATAATCTGGGATATACTCATGTGGAAGAAAGGGATGTTGAGCAAAGTGAAACAGTATGTGAGGATCGTGAACTGGTGAATGAGACAGAAAATGTTGCAGTTGTGAGTGGCATAGAGGAACATTCGGAGGAGGAAACAGAAGAACTTACTGGAGCCACTGTACAAATGAATACAGACTATGATGAGGAGCTGGACACAGACAGACTAGTGGAACAAGAATTAGAAAAATTGTCAACAGATAGTTACAGTGCTCATTTTGCACACGAGAAGTCTGGAGAAGATATATTAGAAATGGAACAAATATCCGTGAAGGAAACGGACAAACAAGAAGCTTCAGTTTACACTGCTCACTTTGAGTCTGAAATTAAAACAAAATGGGAATCTACAGATATTAATGAAGTCTCAGAAAGGCATCCTTTCACCGATCCATCGATGGAAACACATTCGACAAACAATTTGACTGAAGAGGCATTGAAAGAACAAGAAGAAACAGGAAACCCAGCAGTCGATTCTACCAGTGAGCTTGAAATAAAGGTTAATAGTGAGTTTGGACCCTTCACTACAATCACTGGAGAAGCAACAGAGAGACACCTGTTCAGCGATCTATTAGCTGAGATGCATTCCACAAATTATCTGACTGAGAAGGTACTGATTGAGCAAACAGAAACTGACAAAGCAACAGTAGAGACATATACCAGTGAGCCTGAAATGAAGGTTAATAGTGAGTTTGGACCCTTCTCTACAATCACTGGAGAAGCAACAGAGAGACACCTGTTCAGCGATCTATTAGCTGAGATGCATTCCACAAACGATCTGACTGAGAAGGTACTGACTGAGCAAAAAGAAACTGACAAAGAAACAGAAGAGACATATAGCAGTGAGCCTGAAATAAGTGGGGGACATGATCATGTGACTTCCCTGATAGTTGAAGATGAGGCTTTAGAGACGCAACACTTTCCTGAACCATATGTTAAGATGTATTCAGCAAACACTCTGACTGAGGGCGGCACCCAACATCATGATCCAGAAGCTGTAGATAAATCAGAGACAAGAGAGGAGGACGAGGAAGGCAATAAGATGTCTCATATAGAGGCAACCGAACATCAATGCAGCCTGGAAGATGTGTTCAGCAGGTCAGGTGTGGAGGACGTAAAGAACATACAGGACAGAGGCTCTGTGTTACTGGAAACAGAAGATCTGAAGCCTCTGGAAGACGTTGATGCTCCCCCTGAAGTCACTGAGGCGTTACCTGAGGAGGAAATATCTGTCGTAGCTCAAGAACATCACATTGAAGATGCTGAGAACGTTCATAGGTTGGCTATAGATGGAAAAACAGCTGAATGGAAAAATACAGGAAAGGAATTTGAAAGGAATGATCAGGAAAAACAAGATCCAAAGAGCGCAGATGCACCAGAATTATCAGATGATGACATCATCATACACCAGGAAGAGCCTGTGGAAGTGTCCCCTGACAGAGCCTTGAACGAAAACGATATTTTCACAGTGAAGGATGCAACAGAGAGCAGTTTCCATGGTCACTTCAGCTCGGATGGAAAGAATGACTTCTGGGTGTCCTCCTTGGAGACTGGTGCCACATACCCACCAGGGGAGGCCTATAAAGAGGCTGCTGAGGTAACCACTGATAGTCAAGGATTTAGTGAAAACATTGATGGAGGGAACTTCGAGAACCCAAAGCTCGTTAACGGGAACTCCAAAATGCATATGGACCCATCTGGCCTGGATCCCTATGAAAGAGCAGGAAATGATGAGCAGTGAAGTGAAGAAAGCGTTTTGTAGAAACGAAGGAGAGTTAGTCCATTCAGAGGAATCAGATGTTGAGGCTGAATCTTGGTCATCTGGGGAAGAGACAGTCTAAAGAACTAGAAAATCAGCCTTTTAGACGCAATAGGAAGTCATCAAGGGGTACAATGTGGGTTTTCTTGTTGCATATGAAACCAAAGTTGCCTTTGTGCTTTTCTTAGAAAATAAGCAACCAGCCTGTTAACGTCCACTACCTTAAATGTAAACAGATATCTAACATTTTTCTTTTGTTCTGCTGTCTACATTGTTCTACCCCTTCTGTATGCATGTTAAAAAAGATGCATGAGAGAAGAGCATGTTAAGAGAACAACGTACCATTTAAAAGTCAAAACAGCCATTGATCACTGCCTGTTTGCTATTGATCATTTTGCTGTTTAATAGAAATCAATTAAGGCCAGCTGGCTAGGATTCCTCGTAGTGCTTCCATTTCATAGGAACAACAGTTTCATTTCCATTAGCTTACAAATGACTCGACTTTGCATGTGTTATTCATGTCATAAGAATAATTGATTGGTTTTTCATCCCCCTGTAAAAGCTCATTAAAGCTGTGGTAAACGTAAAGTAGAAAATAAACTGTAGACTCATTATGGTTTTCTGTTGTTATTTGCACAGAAGGAGCCTCAAAGCTTTGATTAAATCACTGCAAACAGATTAGCATCAAAAGTGTTACTGTTCTACCATATTACTGATATCAATTCTGCTCAGAACTTATTAAAACCAATTTTGACTGCATGGCTCAGTTATACAAACCATTTTAACAGAGGTAATATTGCTACACGTTCCATGCTAAACCATGATGGTAACAGGATGAATCTCAAACTGTACAAATTATTTCCAGGTCTTTTTTATTACAATGTTAGAAGGATATTTAAAAATATATAATTTTTAATGCTCAAAAATTAATATATCAGTAGATAAAAAAAAAAAAAAAGATGTTTAAATTGTTAATTTGATCTTAATGGAGACTCTATCATTTAGAATTATACATAAGTCCATTGGAAAATGATGTATTTTTACAGAAATCTAATGCGGCAGCCATGTTTGGGCCAACAGTCTTAATTTTGAATTCCTCCATCTTTTAATTTTTCAATTTTTTGAGACTTTGCCCTATTTTTTCCTATTTTTCTGATTAAATCCATTAGACTCCAGAATGATACAGCAATTCATGCAAAATGATCCAGTCCAAGCTTTATATTAGAAAAATCTACTGTTATTTGGCCTTTTTGAAAGCTGAAATTTAATTGATTAATCTGCAAACTATGCAATAAATCCACATATATATATATATATATATATATATATATATATATATATATATATATATATATATATATATATATATATATATATACTGTATATATATATATATATATATATGTATAAATAAGAGTATCAATAAATAAATCAGTATAAATAAAAGTTACACTTTCTATTGATTTACTAGAATATCATAACATTTCTTATTTATGTTCTTATGTATCTCCTAAGTATGTTATAAAACCTATAAATTGCACTAACTATTTATCCTAGAGATTGAGTTGTTTTTTTTAATCATAGAACAACCTTTAAAGCGTAGAAAAATATTCAAGAAAATCTTTTTTTTTAGAGAAATTGGAATCTGTAATCATGCCTACAGACACAAAATGCTCATAATGATATGAAATAATAGAGGAGGTAGCCACTGATAAAAATATATATATATATCATGAAATATATAATTTGTTACACAAAGAAATGTCTAAAGCAATCATTTGGACAGACTTCCAAAGGTCTGAACTTTCTCTCTGAATCAGACATCAGTTGCATCATTAACAGAAGGTTAAGAAGCAAACTGCTCGCATTCTTCCAGCAGCATCCATCTATCAGCCCTTGGGGTTTGCCCTGTGGAACGCTATGAAGCTCTGTGGAGATTTTTCCAAGCCTTCCTGGAGTTGGCAGCTTTCCAGTTTAACCGACCTTACAGCAGGAGATGCAACAAAGCTACACCGATGTCTTCCACAAGCTTTCACGCCTCCCAGGAGATTGCTGTGCAAAATCTATGAAAGAGAGAACAATATGTGACCTCAGCCCCTCCTCATCTCGTCCACACCGTGCCCCACTCCCCTTGCACCCCTTCACGTCTTTCATTAGTCAGTTTGCTCAACAATGCTGGCTATTTTAATCGGAGCCCGCCTCTTTTTCAGCCACGGCGGGGGAATCGGGCAGGAAGGAAACTGCAGATGGTTGTATTCAGGGACTGAGTGCTGGAATCTGGTTACGCCAGCTGTCTGGAACGCCTGGTGGTATCACCAACTGACAGCACCATCTAAACCTCAAATCGCCAGAAAAAGACAGTTTATAAAATTGTATTCATTCTCTAAAAGCAGAAGAAATATGAAGCATAGTTCTCATTAAATTTGAACACAAACCAGAAGAAATGCACACACACAAAAAAAAAGAAACTTAACCCAAATAGGCATCCTATCAACCTGCATCCCACCGAGGGAGCAATTATTTTTGAAAAAAAAAGTGTTTAATATCTGGCTCAGTCTGTGACACATTTGGCGCCATGAATAAATCTTTATGGATGTTTGCTTTCATGGCTTCATTGATCATTATATTTCTTGGCAACTTTACATAGTAAAACCTTGTTGCTGAGTGTTTATCCGACTGTCAGTAACACGTGTTTAATGCGAGCCAAGATTTCCCTAACAAGCTCCCAAGTTACAGCCAAACCAGGCATAGCAGCTAATTAAGGATCACTGTGTTTGAGGCATCTACATCTACATAATCAGATCATGTTCAGGGTGAATCTGCTCAGGTACATGAACACTTTCTTTTTTGTTCTGTTGTTGTTGCTCTTGCCATAAAGTTCACTTCTGGTATTGATGGTTCCTATATATATTAGAATGATATCTCCCCTGAGAATCATTTCCCCAGGCCTTTGTCACAATACATCACCTCATACAGATGCCTTTCTTAAAGATAAATAGATCAGCAAAGAAAGAAAATCTCTGCTCTCCAGGGCCAAGTCTATTAGCCTAGCCATGACCAAGGGGATGTTGGTCATGTTGACACCATAATGGAAGAGGAGTCTCCATTAAGAAAGTCCTGAACCTCCTTTATCTCATTGTTATAGAGTATGCTCTGTAGGCCATCTGCCACCCATCCTCCATCTCCATTGATTGATTTGTGATGTCGCTGCTGATTGATCGTACCATCAGAGGTGGACTGTGGGGGATACGTGTAAAAAAGTCCATCTTTATAAACACTCAGTTCACTGGATATGGGTGGAACATAAAAGCTGGAAGAGAAGATAGTAGATAAACATTCATAGTGTCAACATAGTGTCATAAATCTCAGTTATTGGAAGGAAAAAAGATGATTTTTTTAAAGACCAATGAACAAGACCCAAATTCTCTTGCTAGAACCATGATGGTAACAGGATGAATCTCAAACTGTATGAATTATTTCCAGGTCTTTTTTATTACAATGTTAGAAGGATATTTAAAAATCTATCATTTTTAATGCTCAAAAATGTATATATGAGTAGATTTAAATACATTTTTAATGTTTAAATGGTTAAGTTGATGTCAATGGAGACTCTAATTATCATTTAGAATTATACATAACTCCTTTGGAAAAGGATTTATTTTCACAAAAATCTAATGCGGCAGCCATGTTTGGGCCAACAGTCTCAATTTTGAATTCCTCCGTCTTTTAATTTTTCCATTTTTTGAGAGTTTGCCCTCTTTTTTCCTATTTTTCTGATTAAATCCATTACACTCCAGAATGATTCAGCAATTCATGCAAAATGATCGAGTCCAAGCTTTGCATGAGAAAAACTCTACTGTTATTTGGCATTTTTGAAAGCTGAAATTTAACTGATTAATTTGCATAGTTTTTATTTAATTATGTAATTTTCAGATTGGGTTAAAACAAAAGCGTTGAAAAGTATGCAATAAATCTATATATATATATATATATATATCTGTATAAATAGGAGTATCAATAAATAAATCAGTATAAATGAAAGTTATTTATACTTATTTATTTTTTTATTTCTTTTATCTTTTTGTTCATTTTTGGATTTTCTGAATGATACAGCAATTCATGCAAAATGATCCAGATCAGATCCAGATAGATCAGAGGTGGACTGTAGGGGAAAGGTGTAAAAACGTCCATCTTTATAAACACTCAGTTCACTGGATATGGGTGGAACATAAAAGCTGGAAGAGAAGATAGTAGATAAACATTCATAGTGTCAACATAGTGTCATAAATCTCAGTTACTGGAAGGAAAAAAGATGATTTTTTTAAAGACCAATGAACAAGACCCAAATTCTCTTGCTAGAACCATGATGGTAACAGGATGAATCTCAAACTGTATGAATTATTTCCAGGTCTTTTTTATTACAATGTTAGAAGGATATTCAAAAATCTATCATTTTTAATGCTCAAACATTTATATACGAGTAGATTTAAATACATTTTTGATGTTTAAATGGTTAATTTGATATCAATGGAGACTCTAATTATCATTTAGAATTATACATAAGTCCATTGGAAAAGGATTTATCTTCACAGAAATCTAATGCGGCAGCCATGTTTGGGCCAACAGTCTCAATTTTGAATTCCTCCGTCTTTTAATTTTTCCATTTTTTTGAGAGTTTGCCCTCTTTTTTCCTATTTTTCTGATTAAATCCATTACACTCCAGAATGATACAGAAAGTCATGTAAAGAAAGTCACTCAAACAGTCAAACTCAACCTTGTAAACTTCAGATACATAAGAAATAATCTGAACACAGATGCAGCAAAATTGTTTTTTAACGCAATGATTATGCCTCGTTTAACATACTGTCTTAGCAGCTGGTCACAGGGCTGTAAAACAACATTAAAACCAATCCAGTCTGTCTACAAGCAGGCTCTAAAGGTTTTGGACAGGAAACCCTTTCGTTTTCATCATTGTAGTATACTGGACAAACATGTCCTGTTAAACTGGGAAAATTTAGTAACATTTCATGATGCAAATCTGGTCTTTAAAATTTTACATGGCTTTGCTCCACCACCACTTACCGCTTTTTTCACACAAGGTAGCAGACTCACCAGATCTGTCTCTTCTAATAACCTTACAGTCCCACTGAGAAAAAGCTCATTTGGTCAGTCAGCCTTCTCAGTGCGAGCAGCTCAGTCCTGGAACACCATTCCAACTCATATACGCAATGCAGACACATACAGAACTTTCAAAAACATTTTAAAAGCATGGTTACAGGAGAATCAAACCTGTAATCATAATCAATAACTTCTGTCTGCCTGTCTGATGCACTTTTGTCAATGTTTTTTAAATCTTATACTTGTAATAATGTCTTTGTTTTTTATAGATCAATGTCCAACTTTTATGTAGATTACTAACTATGTATTTTATTGTTTGCACTAATTTTTAATGTTGTTGTTTTATTATGTTGGCATTTTAAACCTTGCCCAGGGACTACAGTTGAAAATTAGCTACTTAGCTAACACTGGCTCATTTACAGAAATGTTTATTAATGTGCACTGTCCCTGTTCAAATAAACACGTAAATAAAAATAAAAAATTCATGCAAAATG